TGTAACTGGAGATAATTCTGTTTAAAGAGAGGCACAGACTGAAGACTGAGATGGAGACGCTGGGCACTGAACTGTGGACGTGTTTTGGAGTCTGTGGAGATAACAACATTCACAACTTTTACTACAGATGCTCTTGAAAACAGCATCGATTTCCTTTAAACAAAATTAAGATAAGACTAAATTGTTATTTGCACAAATAAAAATGTTTTTATTTAGTGGTTATCTGTCTTTAGCTACAGAAGAGATTTCTAAACAAACAGTGAGACTTTCTGGATCTTTTTAGTTGATGATCATTTCAGCGATAAATGAGATGTGACTGATCCATAAACTTCTACTCAGAGTTCTTCTCTACACTCTGAACTATCTGCAGAAAGTCCTCCATCTGGTCCACCACACTGACACACTTTCACATGTCCACGGTTAGTGGAAAGAAAGTCTCTGAGTGTCCATCTGAGCTCCACTGAGAGTTTCCGGGGCCCTTGTGTGGACAGCCGGGCCCTTTAAATCACGAGCAGACTGTGTGCAGGTGTGGACTTTACTGCAGAAGTAAAAACACATGCACCTCAGGAAGAGCAAGAGCCGATCTGTCAACGTTACGACTGTGGCCTCGGGTTAACAGCTCCCCCGCTGGTTTAGAAAGGGAAGAACGCACTATTGTTTTAGAGGCCTCTTATTCACGGGTTTCAGGCAAATGATTCTCCTCGTTTTAAAGAGGGAGTATTACACTGCTATGGCCTATTCATGACATATTTAGATCTCTGTGTTACCTTTTATTGTTTATCTCCTTATTGTGCACTCCCCCTTCAGAACTCTACCACAACACAATCCACATGCACCCGTTAAAGAAGCTACTGCACATCACATCAGGTTTGTGAAGTTGTAGAATGTTGTTTTGTATTCTGTATTCATTTCTGTTCTGGATAGGGTAAAAGCACATAGACTAGTTTACACCCATGGACACTATGAACCTACTGCACCACTGAGGATTACACACATAGAAGACACATGGGAATAAAAAAAGAAAGTATCATTTCATGTTGAAAAGCACATTCTATTGTCCCTGATATGAATAGTGTGTCTTTCTCTTCCCGCCTTTGTGTCTAAACTCAGAGCAGAGTGAGTGTGTGTGTGTGTGTGTGTGTGTGGAGAGGTGCTGACAGTCTGCTGTTTGGACCCTCTCATATATCACACATATACCCCCCCTCCACACACACACACACACTCTCTCACCCATACACACTCTCACACATACGCACACACAAAAACATACTAGGAAGTGCAGTATATCTGAAAAATAATGATATTGGCTGACACAATATTTAATTCTGTCTTGGTTTACTTAATGAGTGTAATAGTACAGTTTTTAATTTTTTTTTAAATAATACATCAGACTTTTATAGAGCTTTTTTCTCTGCTCTGGCTCCTTGGAGACTCTGTATCTCTCAGCGAGTGTGTGTTTACAGCACATCAGTGTCCCGGGTATGAGCGGGTTTTTGAGTGTCCTGGTTTCGTCCTGGTGCATGTAAACGCAGTATCCAGGTTACTCTAACATAAAGTTGAGTCACATGTCCAAAAGACAAACACTTTTCAGTCTTTTCATCACAACAGAAGCAAAATAAATAAAGTGAGTGAAATGAGTGAGTGATGTTAAATGAAGAGCTGCACTAAACCTGCACACGTCTGATCTCTGAAAACATGAACCATCTCCAACGTGACACACACACAGAACACACTCACCATCATCATCAACATCATCATCATCAACATCCCTCTGTCACAGAGAGAATACTCATATTTCACTGAGTCGTGTCCTTTAGCTGAACCTCATCAGCGCACAAGGAGAAAGCTTTTTTCAGTGCTTACAGTTTATGCAAATGAGTCATGTGGTTTTAAGATTAGTTTCTGTAAAACTTAAACAAATGTGTCAAAACTGCATTAAACACATGATAATGTCAAATGGGCTGATGTGGTTCTATAGTACTGATGGTTTATATGTTGTAAAATTGAATTTATTTATGCAGATTAGTCATAGTAATAATAATTATGATTATTTTAATATAAAAACAGTAATGATTAATCAAAAATCAATAGTTAATTCTCTTGACAATCGATTGAGTAAATTTAATCAAATGCTCATCCCTATTTTAAACACTCAAAGATGCTTGACAAACAAAGTGGAGTGACACTGTAGAAAATGAGGGAATGAGGGGGAATGCTGCTTGAACAGATCTAACTGTATACAGTGTGTCAGCATGGAGACCAAAAGTATATCCAAATACTGCATTAATATCTTCACAATACCAAACATAGTTATCAAATCTTCTTCTCATTTCTTCTCATACACACACACACACACACACACACACAAATACACACACACAAATACACACACACACAAATACACACACACAAACTCCCACCACAGCACAGCGCCCCCTGCATGTGTGCACAGGCAGCACAACTTCAGCTCAGTGGTTAATGAGATACAGCTTTGCAATTCAAATGAGGAATTTATTTTGAGGCTGGTGTGAGCCGCTGATGAGTCAAAACAGATTTATTTATACAAATCTGTTTATTCATACTTTCTCTTCTGTTTGGTCTGTACCAGCTGGCTTATCATTTTATCAGTACATTAAAGGAAAACAAAACACCACCATGGAACTTTGAATAATTAAAGAGCCCATATCACACTGTTTCTGATATATTTGATTGTCTCCTCATCACAAACAAACCTGGAGTCGTGTTTTGTTTCATTCACACATGTTTAACACACAAACCTGCATATTTAGGCTGATGAGAAGAGAGTGTTTTCTCTCAAACAGAAAACACTCTCTTCATTTAGAACATTGGAGATGTAAAAAGACTAATAATGCAGAATTACTCAAACATGTGAATGAAACAAAACACAACTCCAGATTTGTTTTTGAGGAGGAACAATATTCTAACAAGAGTCAATTTAGGGAAATATAGGATCTTTAAATAATTGACAATCATGAAACATGTGCTCTTCAGGGGGAAAAGATCAGTTGACAGTAATTGTTTTAAGATCTCTAACAGTCCCATTCAAACGGACTAAAGAGCTGCAGTGCAAAAGAACATTTAAAGAGGACATACTGTGCTTTTGTGTTTAATATACTTAAGAGTCTGACACACGTGGATCATTCATTTGGACATTTTAAATCATAATATTGATCTAAAAGCACTTAATAAAAGACATGAGTTTACTGATTTTTATTTCAAACCTGCAGTGCTGATTTCTGACCATAACAGCAACAGTTCACTGTGGCAAGTAGTGATTTTTTTTTTGTTTAATTTGTGCCCAAACACAATGCTGTTTCTAGTTGTAGCACCCAAACAATTCTGGAAATGTATGTATGGAGAGTCGGGGAGAACTGGAATTTTTGGATCAGTGGCTCATCAAATGCAGGAGAATAAAGATTTCTCCAACGTGCATGAATCATTTAGGATGTGTTCACACTTGCACACAAATTCACTAAACTGGGATCCTAATCCTTGTGGTCAAAGCTCTTCTCAAAGCCTGATCTTGTCAGATCTCAGAAGTCAGGGTTGGGCCTGGTGGGAGACCTCTGGGAATACCAGAGCCACAGAGGGGCACCAGAGGGAAAAAAAAGAAAAACTGGTTGGAGGGAACAATGGCTCAGATTGGTTGCCTCATTTTAGTCAGTCTGTCCCAGGGCAGCTGTGGCTACAGTAGTATCTTACAACCAGAATGAAGCAATGCACCAAATTGTGAAGTGACCAGGACCAAACCTAGTCTCAAACCAGAACACAACGAGGATGTGATTAAATTTACAATTGCTGAATCTTTTAAATCAGACGTGGGCATTGTACAGCTCCTGGGGTCCTTTGATTGACTCTGATGGGTCTGTTTAAGCTCATTTGGAATTACAAAATAAACATATTTATCATTTGACCTCATGCATGGACTAAAGCTGCATTGCTTTGACTTTGGAAGTGTTTTTAAATGGCATTTTTTATAAGGGAGTCTCACTTTTTCATTGCTTAGTCAGAACATAAACTCTTAACAATCTGACCAGCTCGTCAAAACATGTATTTATTTATTGTTATTATTATTATTTTATTAATTTATTTTTTTTTTTTTTTTTTTTTTTTTTATAAAGAAATACAATTAATATTATGCAGAACTGAGTTAAGCATTTTGGCCTCCACAATATTTTCTGTTTCTCATGTGGCCCCATGGAAAAAAGAATTGCTCACTTCTACTTTAAAGAAAATGCACATATCCTGCATTTTTACAGTTTTTAAGATATTACAATCACAACTGAACCTGTGTCTCCAGAGTCTTCACCTGCAGACAGAGACACATCAAGTTTGTCTCATTCTCAGTTTATGGAGAGACCTCATGTGAAGCTCAGAACCTCCAGAATTCCCTCCCTGAGCTGCAGAGGCTGCACTAGCACTGACTCATGACTGCTGCAGGGTTTAGGGAATGACCGCTCAGATCAGAGAGACATTTTAGGTTTAAACACACTGCACTGGATTTCAGCTTTGGAACTGGCAACACAAATGAGACACTCATGTGAGGCCCATTCTGCTTTGTGATTGGAAAATCATTTTGAACCACAAACACCAAATTATAACAAAGACAGCCTGGCCTCATGTCCAGTGTTTTTGAATAAATCATCATTACATAATTATACAGTACTTAGAGTTCTTTTAAAGGCAATTTACTATTACAACAAAATTATGAATGAGTCACTAATTATAACTTTCCACGTTCTCGTATTCGTGTCGTAAGCATAGGTCCTGTCATGTCTTCAGAGGACACGATAATAACCGACTCTTTTGTGAGTCACTGTTTAAGACACAACACTGCACATCAGTCTGGAGCAGAAGTTTTCCATAGCTTGGTCCTGACTCAGAGGAGGGCTTTTGTCTGGGCCGGCACACACAGGTTTGTCCTTACCCGTCAGCATCCTGGTAGTTCACGTTCAGCCTCTTGGTGGAACCCAGCAGCTCTGAAACACACAACAAGAACAGACGTAAGGATTTGGGAATGTTGAATTGTAGAAGTTGAGGAGATATAGTCATTTTAAGCACAAATGAATAATGCTTTCTTCAAGTTAACATGTAGTTCTATACTGGTCGGATAAAGTTCAAGATTACTCTAAAACTGTTCAAGAACAGTCCACTTCTGTCATGTTTATGGGATGTTTTCAGTATCAACCCATATGGAAAAGGTTTAGACAAATCATACACCGTTTTAACATGTTTCATATGAATCCTAAAAGATTTGTATATGACAGTGAAAACACTTACAAGATCTTTGGTAAATATGTGCAGCATGAAACATATAAAACTTTGTAACCTGCAAGAGCTGAATATAACACTGACCCCACACACAATCTCCTCACAAGTGTTGGACAAAGGTCATTTTTACCACAGAATCAGAGAAAAACAAGTGAAATGATGATTGTTTCTTTAAACTTGATTGCTGTGTTGTGTGTGTATGAGAGTGAGAAAGTAAAAAAATTAAAAATTAAAATTAAAAAATTAAAAATTATCACAGTGTGTGTGTGTGTCTGTGTGTGTGTGTTTGTGTGTGGGGGTGCATGTGGGTTTGTGTGTGTGTGTGTGTGTGTTGGGCAGCATGGGGGTAAACACAGTAAAGCAAATTTTGCATTACAACCTTAAAAACATCTTCCACTGATCTCACAGTGAACATACATCAGGCTGTAAAAATATTTTTACTCTGCAAAATCCTAATTATTGCAAAGGTCTATATAACGCTAGAACAGATTGGACTCATATAAACTCTGAGAAAATGTTAAAGTTGATTCTGTGAGAGTCAATTTTAACACTCCACTTTTTGTTGTGTACAAGAGCGTTCTCCTCACAGGACCTCACAGAATTTTTGAGAAATAGAGAAAGAAGTGCAGAGAAGGTTTCATCTGAGGACAGTTTTTACGCTCAAGCTCAATCCAGAAGCCATTTTACATTGATGGAACTGACTAGAAGCTCTGGGGACTTATCATTTTCTGGGTATCGAAGTCCAACCTCAAAGGGAAGAGTCAGACCAGTTCCATCATCTGAAATTGGCTTCTTGAGTTCAGATGATCACGGATGAAACCTTCTCCACACTGAAACACTTCTGGACGACTGAAGGATTACACCGCTTCATTACCACGAACAGAAACAAGTAGAAAATCAAACAGTGAAACAGTCATGAGTCAATAAAAAACAAGCAAGTGTCCACAAGAAAGGTTACATAATACATTCATTTCACAGTCCGTTCACTTTTCTGCAACGCTTCAATCAACTGAAATCTGTCTGAACGTCACACCCTCTCAGGCAACGGGATTTTTTTCTGTTTACGACTTTCTACATTTTTTTAACACAAATATATTATGCAAGATATACGGAATTATGTAGCAGAGAACAAAAATGTTAAAAAAAGATTAGATTCTTCCGAGTATCCACCCTTTGCTTTGTCGACAGTGCTGCAAACGCTGAGACTTCTCTTTATGAGCTTCTTGAAATGGTTTTTACTTTACTCCTGTGCAGGGTCAAGATATGCAAGAAGCAGTGATCAAAGCAAATCGCAAATCTGAAAGAGTTTATTGTTTGTTTACTACTCCTACATTCCACATGTTTCATTCATAGCTGAATGTGATGCCGTCAGTGAGAATCTACAGTGTAAATAATCATGAAAATAAAGACAAAACATATGAAAAAATGTGTCTGAACATCTGACTGGTCGTGTAAATATATTTTTATTGTCCATCCTGCCCATAATTGCTTTGTTGTGTCTTTGTTCTTGGTTTTCACTTCACTCCTGTGCAGGGTCAAGAAATTCAAGAAATGCAAGAAGCAGTGATCAAAGCAAATCTAAAACTGTTTTTTGTTTACTACTACTACATTTTACATGTCTCAATCAGTGAGAATCTACCGTGTAAATAATCACGGAAATAAAGAAAAAACCTGCCCATCATCACATTGTTTTGTCGTGTCTTTGCTGTGATCAGCCTCTTTTACGCCACAAGCTTATCAGAGTTTTCCAAGATTTCCAGCGACGACCGCCTGGAAAAGCAGAGGCAACAAGACAGGACAGGAGCGCACCTGACTCAGCTGTGGACAGACAGGAGCTTGTGCAATGCCCCTGCATGATCACACACTCACTGGTATGGCAGGGCAGGGCCGTGGGGAGGGAGGGCGGGAGAGGTGCACACATCAGCACTGTTTGAAGTCAAGCACACGTCTGTCCTGGAATAATATGATGTATAAGCAGCTCTAGAGGTCAAAACAAGTCCAATATGTACAGTCTGTGTTGAATTATAAAGCCTTTTATTGTGACAGTATTGAATGGGATTGTTGTTAGTATTACTATGACAGTTTGGTTCTGTTCTAGTCCAGCCCTGGTTTAACCTTACAATTGTCAAAAAGAATATACTCAGATACTAACTGTACTAATAATGATAGATACTGTATTTTTCAGACTGTAAGTCACACTTTTTTTCATGGTTTGGGTGTTTCCTGTGACTTATACTCTGGTGTAACTTATATATTAAAATGTTCACACTGAAGCGGTGAGAGGTTCTAGTCTTGTGTGTGAGTATCTGCTGCTCCTGTTCCTCCTGTACCACTGTCACTTCACTCTACTGCACATGTCTCCTGCAGAAAGAGCCTCTGTTCTGTCTGTATCATATCAGTCGATCGCACCATTACTTCTGCACCACTGAACAATTTAACATTTAAACAAACTTATAAAGTCGACTGAGAAGACTGAACACAAATGAGCACAAAAACAAAATCATATTTTGCAGATTACAATCTGCAAGTTGTGAAATCTGCAGCTGAAAACGATAATCGAGCAGCAGAAAGAAAGTTTGGAGTGAGAGAGAAACTTGTGACACCGAGAGGATGCATCATGAAACTTTCCTGAAGTCACTGGATGGATGGACAAAGTCTGGACTTCAGTGACACTGAAACCATCCTGTCGGGATTCAGAAAGACCCGAATAATTCTAACTGGAACTGATGCTGAGTCTGACGACAGCGACACAGAAGAGGAAGCGGCGCTCTGTTTACCTCCGGAGGTCGAAGCCGAGTTGTTCAGAAGTGACACCGAGGATGAAGAATTGAATGGATTTAGTGATTTGGAGTGAGATGGAGAGTTTGGTAAACTTGTTCTGTTCTGTTGTTTATAGTATCTGAAGAACTGTTCATATGTGACGTTAACAGTCTGTTGTTCTCTCTTCTATTCTTATTACTACAACTTGACTTTAAACAGGAAATGTCAGTTCCTGGTCTCTGATTCTATAAAATACATTTCCCCCAAAAAGTGTGACTTATATATGTTTTTCTTCTTCATTAAGCATTTTATCAATACCGGAAAAAATCACAAAAACAGGATCAATTGGGCCTTTCCTGTATAGTTTTAGAATAGTACTGATCTAACTCAGAATCAGAGTAAAACCACATGATAATAAACAGTTATTCTGAGTTGAAAATGACATTGTGTAAAAAGAGTTTCTATGATCAGTGTGTATCAACATCTGTATGGAGCCTTTTCTTTAGCATCAAACTCTGCACACAACATGACTTCTGAGCACTTCCATTTTGTTCCTTCACTCTCACTGAGGGGACTAAACATTATAGAGCCCACTGGAGCAGTAAAGGGCCAGTGCCACAGAGGCCCCTGAACCCGGAGCCAGGCGGCTGTAAATCTCCTGCGGTCTGGACTAAGGTGTGGAAAATCGCATGTGTCTGGACTAGGGTGTGGAAAATCACACGTCTGCAGAGGATGGATGGGGTAACGTGCAGGGCAGCTGGAGTATGGGAAAAACTATCCCATTGAAAAAGTGGAGAAATTCCATGACTAACACAAGCAGTGACTGAGCACCGTATTACACAAGAGGAGGGCAGTACTCAGTTACATGTACTTGAGTAACTTTTAAAAGGTGCACTGTTTAACTTTAGAGATTGTGTTTGTCTCCATGGAGACCTCACTCCTTTACCTGGAATGTTAAAGAGGATGTGCAATAAACTTCACTTTCATTTTGAATACTCCAAGGCTACGTCCACATGACAACACTCCTGGATTTGATCTCTTTGCAGGTTGAAAAAACTTTGTATCCACACATGATCAATAAATATTCACGTCCAGACAACAACAGAGCACTGAGTGAAAACAATGTAATACATCTGCCACACCTGTATGTGGTGCTGTAAACAATGATAATAATATTTAATAATGTAAATCTCATCACCGTTTTTCAAACTTTAAGGTTATTTAGCCGATTTTAGATGTATCCCAGAAATATCGCCGTTTTGTTTTGTAAAAGTTAAACATAAGTCACAGAAAGAACCTACATATTCCACTGAGTCTTGTCCTTTAGTCCGACAGAAGCTGAAACGCATCAGCGCACAACAGTGAGCTGTTTCTTTGAGCACTTATTTTATGCAAATGAGTCATGTGGTTTTAAGTTTCCTTTCTGTAAAACGTAAACAAATATGTACAAAGTTGTGTGGAGAGGGAAGACTTGCGGACACAAAAACGACGTGTCTGGATGCAGATCATTTCTGATATGGTGATACACGGATTTGTTTCAGTATAAATGTAGTTTTTGTTATTGATCTGTGTGCATAATCTGTGGTGCGTGTTGTTAACATTAGCGTGTGTCTCGGTTGCTGGGAGACAGGAGCGGCTCCGTAAGCTACACCTGTCCCATTTTGGCAACACTCTTGCGGTCTGTGGAGGCCAGTTCGAGGGCTGTGGAGGACCCTGACGATGACAGGATCGTTGTCGAAAAGCTGCAGTTTCCACACTACAACACAACGCCAGCATCCTCAGATTTCTTCACTCTGGAACCTGTTCTCAAAAAACTCTGTTTTTGCCCACAAAAGATGAAAGACCAAAACGACTACAAACGTCTCCGTTTTGACCAAAAAAGTTATCGTGTGGACGGCCCCCAAGTCTCCCTTCTTGCTGCTCCATGTGCTAAGTCACTCCCTCTTCA